ATTCGCTATACATCATGCTGGAATGACTCGTGTCGATCGTACCCTGGTTGAGGATCTTTTCGCGGATCGGCACATCCAGGTTCTGGTTTCCACCGCCACTCTCGCTTGGGGTGTGAATCTCCCAGCTCACACGGTAATCATCAAGGGAACTCAGGTCTACAATCCCGAAAAAGGACGCTGGGTGGAGCTGAGTGCTTTGGATGTCCTGCAGATGTTGGGTCGTGCTGGAAGACCGCAGTACGATACCAAGGGTGAGGGTATCCTCATAACTAACCACAGCGAGCTGCAGTTTTACCTCTCCCTGCTTAACCAGCAGTTGCCTATTGAGTCGCAGTTCATATCCAAGCTTCCTGACATGTTGAATGCCGAGATTGTGCTGGGAACTGTTCAACATCTCCAGGATGCGGTTAACTGGTTAGGCTACACTTATCTCTACATCAGAATGCTGAGGAATCCCACTCTGTATGGAGTTTCTCACGATGCCATAAAGGCGGATCCTTTGCTGGAGCAGCATCGAGCGGATCTTCTGCATACTGCAGCCTGCTGTCTGGAGAGAAGTGGACTCGTGAAATACGATCGGAAGACGGGTCACTTCCAGGTGACGGATTTGGGACGAATTGCCTCTCACTATTACCTGACCCACGAAACCATGCTGACTTACAACCAGCTGCTGAAACAGACTCTTAGCGAGATTGAGCTGTTCCGCGTGTTTTCATTATCATCAGAATTTCGACACATTTCCGTCAGAGAGGAGGAAAAGTTGGAGCTGCAGAAGCTAATGGAACGAGTACCCATTCCCATTAAGGAATCCATTGAGGAGCATAGTGCCAAGGTTAATGTCCTGCTGCAGGCCTATATCTCGCAATTGAAACTGGAGGGCTTTGCCTTAATGTCGGACATGGTGTTTATCACCCAATCCGCAGCCCGTTTGATGAGGGCAATCTTTGAGATTGTCCTGACCCGTGGATGGGCTCAATTGGCGGACAAAACGTTGACCCTCTGCAAAATGATCGATCGAAGAATGTGGCAATCAATGACTCCACTTAGGCAGTTCAAGAAGATGCCCGATGAAATTGCCAAGAAGCTGGAAAAGAAGCACTTCCCATGGGGAAGGCTTTATGATTTGGAGCCCCATGAACTGGGTGAGCTGATCAGAGTGCCTAAGCTAGGAAAAACCATTCATAAGTTTGTACATCAGTTTCCCAAGTTGGAGCTTTCCACACACATTCAACCTATAACAAGGGGAACATTAAGAGTGGAACTTACCATCACCCCAGATTTCCAATGGGACGAAAAGGTTCATGGCGCGTCGGAAGGCTTTTGGGTGTTGATTGAAGATGTGGACTCGGAACTCATTCTCCATCACGAGTTCTTCCTGTTGAAGCAGAAGTATTCCCAGGATGAGCATCAGCTGAAGTTCTTTGTGCCCGTGTTTGAACCGTTGCCTCCACAGTATTTCCTACCGAATTGTCTCGGATCGCTGGATTGGAGCAGAGACCCAGCTACCCGTCTCCTTCCGACATTTGATTCTGCCCGAGAAGAATATGCCACCTACCGAGCTGCTGGATCTGCAACCGCTTCCTATCAGTGCTCTCCGGCAACCCAAGTTTGAAGCGTTTTATTCGCAACGTTTTCCGCAGTTCAATCCCATCCAGACGCAGGTCTTTAACGCGGTCTACAACAGTGATGAAAACGTCTTTGTGGGAGCTCCAACCGGATCTGGAAAGATGACCATTGCGGAGTTTGCCATTATGCGCTTGTTCACCACTCAAACGGATGCCCGTTGTGTCTATTTGGTTTCGCAGGAGGCACTGGCAGATCTGGTCTTTGCGGATTGGCATACCAAGTTTGGTTCAATGGACATAAAAGTAGTTAAATTGACTGGCGAAACTGGCACTGATCTGAAGCTAATCGCCAAGGGACAGCTGGTGATCACCACTGCGGATAAGTGGGATGTGTTGTCCCGCAGATGGAAGCAGAGGAAGAACGTGCAACTGGTGAACCTATTCATTGTGGACGAACTGCAGCTGGTGGGCGGAGAGGATGGACCTGTGCTGGAGATTGTATGTTCTAGGATGCGGTACATTAGCTCGCAGATTGAGAAGCAGATCAGGATAGTGGCATTGTCCGCCTCGCTGACCGATGCCAGGGACGTCGCCCAGTGGCTGGGTTGTAATCCCAATGCCACTTTTAACTTCCACCCAAGTGTGCGGCCTATTCCGCTGGAGCTGCACATTCAAGGCTTTAACGTCACTCACAATGCCACCAGGATTGCCACAATGTCGAAGCCGGTTTACAATGCCATTCTAAAGTACAGCGCACACAAGCCTGTGATTGTATTCGTCTCGTCCAGAAAGCAGGCCAGGCTCACGGCTATAGATGTTCTGACCTACGCTGCCTCGGACTTGCAGCCCAATCGATTCTTCCACGCCGAAGAAGAGGACATCAAGCCGTTCCTGGAGCGAATGACGGATAAAACCTTGAAGGAGACACTAGCCCAAGGTGTTGCCTATCTCCATGAGGGATTATCCGCCTCCGATCATCGACTGGTGGAGCAGCTCTTTGACTCCGGAGCTGTGCAAGTGGCTGTTGTCTCCAGGGACCTCTGCTGGGGCATGAGCATCTCGGCCCACTTGGTGATCATCATGGACACACAGTTCTATAACGGCAAGAATCATTCGTATGAGGATTATCCTATTACCGATGTTCTGCAGATGATTGGACGAGCCAATCGACCCAACGAGGATGCGGATGCCAAGTGCGTGTTGATGTGCCAGAGTAGCAAAAAGGACTTCTTCAAGAAGTTCATCAACGAACCGCTTCCCATCGAAAGTCATTTGGATCATCGAATGCACGATCACTTTAACGCGGAGGTCGTAACCAAGACAATTGAGAACAAACAGGACGCTGTGGACTATCTCACCTGGACGTTCCTGTACAGGAGATTGACCCAAAATCCCAATTACTACAATCTGCAGGGCGTAACCCATCGCCATCTGTCCGATCATCTTTCGGAGTTGGTGGAAAATACGCTAAGCGATCTTGAGCAGTCAAAGTGTATTAGCGTAGAGGACGATATGGACACCCTACCACTTAATCTGGGCATGATTGCGGCATATTATTACATCAACTACACAACGATTGGTAAGAAAATATTTCATATAAAATCATCTTTATTGTAACATAAATCTTTTTCTTTTTTCCCTTAGAACTCTTCAGTTTGTCGCTGAACAGCAAAACGAAAGTGCGTGGCCTTTTAGAGATTATTTCATCGGCCGCCGAGTACGAGGATGTGGTGGTCAGGCACCACGAGGAGCAGGTCCTACGCACTCTGTCGCAGCGATTACCGAACAAGCTCACAGGACCCAACGAAACGGCTCCTAAGTGGGTTTTTTTACCTCAATCACACCTCAGAAACTTACCGATTTCCTTTTCAGGTTTAATGATCCGCACATTAAGACCAATTTGCTGCTCCAGGCTCATCTTTCGCGTTTGCAATTGGGACCTGAACTGCAGGGCGATACGGAACAAATACTTAGCAAGGCCATCAGACTCATTCAAGCCTGTGTAGATGTGCTGAGTTCAAATGGTTGGCTTTCCCCTGCTGTGGCTGCCATGGAGCTGGCCCAAATGGTCACGCAGGCAATGTGGACCAAGGACTCGTATTTAAAACAGTTGCCGCACTTTAGTCCCGAAATCGTCAAGCGATGCACAGAGAAGGTCAGAATTAAAAATCATAAAAGATTGTTTCCTTGTACTTAATTGCTTCTTACGTATATGCAGAAAATCGAAACCGTTTTCGACATCATGGAACTGGAGGATGAGGACCGCACCCGCCTGCTGCAACTTTCCGATCTACAAATGGCCGATGTGGCCCGTTTCTGTAACCGGTATCCCAACATAGAGCTCAACTACGAAGTGGTGGACAAAGATCGCATCAACTCAGGGTCAACCGTCAATGTGGTGGTTCAATTGGAGCGTGAGGATGAAGTCACCGGCCCAGTCATTGCTCCATTCTTCCCGCAAAAACGTGAAGAAGGATGGTGGGTCGTTATCGGTGATCCCAAGACCAACTCCCTGCTCTCCATCAAAAGGCTCACGCTGCAGCAGAAGGCAAAGGTCAAGCTGGACTTTGTGGCCCCCAGTCCGGGCAAACACGAGTACAAGTTGTACTACATGAGCGATTCCTACTTGGGCTGCGATCAGGAGTACAAGTTTTCCATCGAAGTGGGTGACTTCCAGTCGGAAAGCGAAAGCGAGTCGGATTAGTTGTGTTAAATAAACTCATTTGGGGATAGTTGCGCAACTAAAGATCAACCATTATCCCATTAATTGTAGTCATAATTTTAAATCGATTCTATATTTTTCTCTAAGCAACAACTTTGGGGAAAATTTTATTTGATTATTTCTACTAGTGTGTATGAAAAAAAAATTGAAAGAAAATATATTAAAAAATACAAAAAAACTTGGACTTGCACGCATTTATTGTGAATTTTTTTTTATCGTTTAAGAATCTATATAGCAATTTGTTACAAAGCAAATACGTTTACACGGTTAATAAATTACATACAGTAATTACTTTTATACTAAAAGTCGTCTTATACTGTCATTCATTTTAGTTTTTACAAGTGAAAAACTGTTTTAAACACTTGTTTTCTTTGTTGATAATAAAAATAAATAAACCGAGAATTTAGTTCTTCCCTGACAAATTTATTATTTTTGAGAAATAATGAAGTCTCAAAAAAACTCTTAGATTTGACCTTTATTATAAAAATCATTAAACAAAAATTGATTGCCAAATTTTTATAAATTTTCCTTCTTACATAAAATAAAAGGAAACTTGATATTTCAATCCCGGTTTTAAATTGATTATTAAATGAATTCAGCTTATAATCTTATCCTGAATTTGATTTCGGAAACACTAATTTTCTAATGGTCGGAAAATATTTTATGATTTTAGTATTCTTACCATTACCTGCAAATTAACTATATCAATAAACAACTTTTTTAATCATAAATATTTATTTGCATATTTTAGACATTTGCACATAGGATTGCTGACCAATAGATTAATTTGGAGGTATTTCCCTGTAGGATGCAATCTGCTCCTAACGGCTCACTGAAACCGCCGAACCATGGCTACTGCCCCGGTTGGCTCCTCCGTTGGCGAAGCTGTTTGTGGAGCTGAAGTTTATGGTCTGTCCATTTGGGAGATGATACACCTGGCTCAACGAGGCACCTGCCGCATTATTGGACCCAAAGGGACCGGAGTTCTGGGACTGAGTAGCCGTGCTGGCGGAGGAGGCCCCAAAAGATCCATTGGCACTCTGCGATTGGAAGCCCTGCGCCTGTCCACTGGCCGCCGAGGAGCCGGAGTTAGCTCCATTGTTGTAATTATTGTGTGCAGCTCCATTTGAGGCGGCCTGCTCCTGGTTATAGCCACTAGGTCCGAGTGGTCCCAGGGGACTTAACTGAACATTGGCATTGGCATTACCGCCGTCGGGTCCCGCTCCAACATCGACGCCCGCCTTGGTTCCTCCAGCTCCGGCCGATGTGCCAGCCTGGACATTTCCACCGAGTCCTTGATTACCACCAAATCCTTGATTACCCCAGAATCCTTGATTATTGCCGAATTCTTGATTACCACCGAATCCTTGATCACCACCGAATCCTGGATTACCGCCGAATCCTTGATTACCACCGAACCCGTTTCCAAAGCCGGAATTGCCGAATCCAGGATTTCCGAATCTCTGTCGCTTCACCCGCTTGTGGGTGACTCCCGACTCTCGATCCAGAACAGAACGGACGCGTCGCACCTGTGGATTAGACTTCGGTTTGATGTACAAGGCAGATTCCACCACCACTTCCTCAATGGTGGCGCCCTTGGAGGCTGTAAGAAACGATACATTTTAAAAATGAATAACAGAACATTTTAAGATTATCTTCAAGAAGCTTCCAAAACTTGTTGTAATATTTTTATTGGTCTTGTTTTTCAATTAGCTATAATTTGTATGCCTACGTAATTAAACAAAATTCAACGTTTTAGGGATTGACGATTTATACGAAATCGATAATATTATTATTTTAAAGAAATTACCAGCAAATACAAAATGGGGGCAATTTTTGGTTTGTGTTAAGAAATAGCTACATTAGCCTTCTGTTTAAATTGAACCAATATTTATTCTTTGTTAATGTGAAATACGCAATTAAAATTGTTTAACACTTCAACAAAGATTCTTATATCTCTAGCACATCCCCAAAAAAAGGTACTCCACAATTTTAAATATATGATTTCAAATATATAGTTTGTTAATTACTAAACTTACGCAAATCATCCTCTCCGGTTTGGACCTGCTTCTCGTTTCGCTGCCTCAGTTGGGGAAACGCGGACACAGCCCCCAGACAGATGAGGGCCACAATTAGCACCGTAGCAGACAAATTCATTTTTGATTCTTCGATTGGTTTTCTTCTGGGGATCGCAGATGGACACGTCTGCCAGCTAGGCCGCTTCACGATCAACTGTTGGGTGTATCTCAGCCTTTGCGATCGGCCGATCTACATCAACTCTCACTTTTCAATCGCCACGGGGGCGTCCCCCTTTGTTCGATGGCGCTAATTGCTTCTATCAATATTCAAGATGTTTCGGCAAATTAAAAAATAAGACAAAAACTGGCTTGTATAATCAAACGATTTTTGGCACATGTAACCAGATGCAAACATTTAATAATGTATTATGTAGGAAAAAAACAAAACGGGTGTACAAAAGCCGAAACCGGTTAGCATCCAAAGCTCGTGGAGGAACTAGTTTGGTTTTCTTTTGTTTATTTTGTAGCTCGGCGGTGCCTGGTTTTTGTTGCTTTTCGATTTCCTTTTCGGGAAACAGATGTTGCCCAGAACTTTTACGGGTCACAAGAGCGGAGGCGGAGAGATCTCCCCTATGTGGTAGTGCATATGAGTGGGGGCATCCCAGTGAACTTCTGCCTGGGATTTCTAAATGCAGCCGCTTGCTTGCCCTTTCAGCTTATAAGACCCCAGACCGAATACACAATTTTATTGCTATTTATAATCAAGAAGTTTAGGCAAAGAATTAAGAATTTTAAGGAGTATGATTAAAGAAATAAGACAGATCATGCTATGAAAGGTTATTCAATTTGGGTAGCCATCAGAAATAGTCTCAGTTCCACAAAAATGTACGTCTAAATTAAAATCTCTTAAGACTCAGATTGATTTTAAAAAAGTAAAAGAATAAACCTATTATTTGGCGTGAAAGTATGCTACTACCAAAAATATGTATTTGCAAAGTTTTTTCAATTTTCGAAGTTTACGTATATATGATTTATTGTTAAGTTCTAACACTTTGAACTGAGAAATAAAAAAAAGTATTTTTTCGACAAGTGTTTAAAAAAAGGCTGAAGTTATCCAGCTTAATAATAGTTTTATATCAAGGCAAGGGTTATATAACTAATAATTGCATGACCACCTTGTAAGATTTAAAGGATATACTTTTGAATTATCAGAGCTGAGACGGTTTGATTACTTATGTTAGTCATTTCATTTTTATTAAAAAAGGGTTTAACTTTATTAAATTTTTATTTTTTTTTTTTAAGTGAGAAATAAATTAAATTTAGTCAAAACTCTGATAAAATGTACATAATAAAATATTTACCCTATTTAATCAAATCAAAGACTTTTCTTACCATGTACGATTTTAAATATTTTGTTTATTATTTGTTCCACATTTAATCTAAAAGTTTTGACAATTATTACAGAACTCTAAATAAGGTGTGCAATAAGAATTAAAACACGGATTAAGACACTCACAGCTACCTTTCATAAAAATGAGAATGAAGTGAACGATAACAAAGGGATAAATGGTGAGATCGCTTAATCAAACATTAGATATTGGGTATGCGATTTTTAATGGAATATGCGAAATTGTTTACGAACTAAATGGAAAAAACAATTATCCGAAATAAATGTATAATTTTTGTACAACTTGAAAGTCGTCATGAGGCGCTTGATTGGTACTTTTTGCGAGCTTTTCCTTACACTATTGCTTTTAATGCTTACACTTAAGTTAAGGAATCAACAAAACTGAGCACTGTTCGATATAGTTAGCAGTTAACCTAGGATAAGTGGTTAAGCAGCGGCTGGGCGCCTACTCGATTCCATGGGCGAAGATCATGACCAGGCCGGGATCGATCATCACGTCCTCAGTCATATGGAGGTTGTCGCAGCTCAAAACGAGCACAGCTTGCTTGCCTGTGGATAAGAAAATAATTATTTATGCCTGCCGATATCAGTATTTTAAACTAGCTACCTGGAATGCGTCGACACACATAGTTATCGTAGATTCGACGGTTGGTCTGTCGTGTTTCCAGAGAACTGAGTCCTCGTGGCCAACGGCGCTCGTGGCAGAACTCCATGAGACTATCCAGGATGTGTGGCGGACAACCCGACTCGGACAAAGCGCGCTTGATCATGAGCTGTAAGAGAAAAGTAGGTTAAGCTTGTATTATTTTCAGTAAATGTGCTTCTTGGGCTTTACCTGCAGTGCATCGTCAGGCGTAGAGATCATTCCCCCCCAGCGAGTGACCCTGGCCCGGGGCAGCGTGCTGCTCCAGCGGATCACCTCGTCGCGCTCCATCTGGTCGGCTATGGCCCGCATCGCAGGATTGGAGACTCGCATGGCACGCATAAAGTCCTTGAATAGCTGCAGTTCCCGCTTCAGTTCGTTGATGGTTAGCTGCTGATCGGTGAGCTCCGACTTGAGCTCGCCCATCTTCTCCGTCTGCTTGACGATCAGGGTACGCAGCTCCCGGACGCAGTTATGATCCTTCAGCTCGTCCTTGGGTATGTCGAAGCCACAGCCTTTCTCGCAGGGAAACGGACGCTTCGGATTATGGATGCACTCCTCCAGATGGGAATTGTAGGCATCTAGTTTAAGTACGGCCGTGCAGCCGTAGGGGGCATTGTCACAGGTAATTGACAGTCTGGTTGGCAAGGATAAAATATTAGTTTTGGAGCGGGAGGAGGAGGAGTTGGGTATCACTCACCTGGACAGTAAGTTGCGCAATATGCGTGGAACTGCACGCAGATTGGCGGTGGTCAGGGCATTGCGATCCACCGGACATGTTGGTTGGCGGGTTAGCCACTCATTAATGCAGCCACGACAGAAGGCGTGCTCGCACATCACGGCCTGAATCAGTAAATATATATAACACATATGGTATATATGGGTATATGTACTTTGCACGAACTGCAAACAAAACAAACCTGAAGCGGATCCTCCAGCACCCCGGAGCAGATCGGGCAGGTGAGCTCCTCGTCCACCTCCCCTTGAAAACGATTTACATCGTAGCCCATCTTAGGTCCTCAGTTCGCTAGCCATCCGCATGAAGTTCAATTTATTAATAAGTCTTTTCTGCGGATTGCAAAATCTTTCGCTGCGCTTGTTTCGTTTCAGTGTTGTAAGGTGTGTGAATAAAACCAGTGCTGAGAAGCAGTGTTGTCACAATAGCAGTATACCGTCAGACTTGTCCTTTTTTTTAATATTTGTTGGCTTCAAATTATTATTTCAAGCTAAACATTTTTTTATTGTCCACTGTTTCAAAAATATAAATGGCTGTTAAGAAAGGCTTTTCAAAAAGTTAAGTATTGGTATACGGGAATCAAATAATTTATTGCGATTGTAAACCTCAAACCCTCCTGACAAGCTATGTTAGATTAAAGATAATTTACATATTTCTGAATTTTATATGATTGTTTTTATTTTAAATGTTTTATTCTTAAATAGCTATATTTTATTTAAAAATTGTTTCATTGCTCTTCTACCTGGTAAAATACTCATAGCATAAAATAAATGTATGATGGAATAACAATTTTGTTATATTCAGGTACAAACTTAATTTACCGCATAAATTGTCCACCCAGCATATCCTAATTTAAGGACCACGTCACCATAACTCTTTTCTGCAGTGGTTGAACAGCATAATAATTATCTAAAAATAAAACATATTTGCAATAGGTAAAAATATCAATGTATTTAACAGTCTGGACCGGGCGCATGCCACTATTTGGTATACAATTATGAAATTCGTAAACTCGGGGGTCCAAAAGATATACACTCGTTCATAAACTAACACAACACAGGTTAACGACAACATTCAACGCGCACTTATTCAGATAATACCCCTTGTGCCCCGCACCCTCAAAGGAGGTGATCCTGTACTATATCTCGTTCCGATCTTTCCAGCCGTACTTTTGGCGCTGCTGCTTCTCCCTGCTGTTTCCCTTGTTGCTGTTCCCATTATAGGAAGATGCCCTTGGGGGAGCACAGTAGCAGGATCTCTGCTGGGAGTCCAGATAGGACCGGCATCCTAGGGTTAATGTGCCGGTAAATAGCATCTTGGCCGCCGCTTTGCATCCCTTCACCATAAGATCGCTGGCAATGGACTTCTCGTAGCTGTCACAGTGTTTGTAGAGGCACCTCTTAAAATCCAGGTCGCACAGCTCCTTGTCGCTGTTGCAGGTGTCGTAGCAAATATCATGGTCATTGCAGCAGGTCTCCATCTCCTTGGCGGGCAGATAGTCCGTACTGATCCTTAGCCCCAGGGAACCACAGCCGTCGGAAGTGGGGGTATAGAACTTATTCTGCACCGCTCGAGGGGCTGTAAAATCGATCATACATGGAGTGCATACATATAGATGCCGGGCAATTTACATAATTCGATTTGCGTCACATACCTGGTCCACCGATATCCGGAGCGGGGCATTGGTAAACGCAATTCTCGTCCACTGCGGCATCGAATACCTCGTGAACCGTGCGAAATTTGCGGACCAGAACTATCAGGTTCTTGAACACGTCACCAAATATTGCCTCCGCCGCTATAATGGCATCCCTTAGCTAAAATCCGGGGGGAGAAGACACTTTACTACAGGTATCTTTTACAGATTCTCAAAGATGTGTCCTACATGAACTATTGTGCTGGATCCGTAGCCGGAATAGGCGTATGTGAGGAACGTTAGCAGGTATATGGCCACCTTCATCCAGGAGAACTGCATTTTTGATCTGACTTTATTTGTGTTCCGTTCAAAAAAGGCGATATATTTTTTGTGAGCGCATAATAATAAACTATCCTACAGATATTTTGTGCAGTGTGACCGAGGTCAAACTGTTAAAATTTACCACCGGCTCAGAAAAATATACCAAATTAAATACATATAAATTTTTAAAATATAACGGAAATTTAGCACTGAGGTGAAACGTTATAAACGTTATTTAGCTTACAAAAAATAAAGACTATAATTAATTAATTAATTACTTCAATTGTTTAATTTTAAATAGTCTGATAATCTAATAATCTAATGAGTAGTTTGTGAAAGATTATATTTTTTCAAGCAGTGGCGCCATCTGGTACTGGAATAAACATTAAATATTTGGCAACGCCTCACACAAAGTAATCGAATTATCGGGAGGGAAAATTCAAAATGTGTGTTTAGAAAAATATAATATTCTATACAATGGAAGTCCGTTATATTTTGGACCGTATTTACATAGTTTACAGGATCGGAACATGCGTTTTGGCCAAGTTAGCACTCGGATTCTTCTATTCCTGCTGGAAGCAGAGTAAGCTGAATGTGAAAAATTCCATAAAGGCGCACAAGAAATTTAAATAATTACGGTTGACAGAATGCCGCGACCATGACAAGGCTTCCGGTCTGCGGACAGGACTCGCGCCGCCCTCAACGCCCACCCAAGGAGGTGAGTGCACAATGTCCTTGCCCTTGACAACGGGACTGCAGCAGCCGCTGCGGA